TTCATGTGGTGTCACCCAATCCTGTAGCAGTACAAAGTTTCCAAGAAGGTACGGGCGACGACATGTGGGGAGGATATTCTTCTCGAGTTGCTCGATGTAACCGCCAGCGCTCACCAGTCCGGGGTCCACGAAGAAAATTGGTCTTTCCATTCCAGGTACGTCCGGTCCATACCATCAACCCGCGCCTTGGCGACTGTGGTGAAGATGATGTCCTAGACCGTAGCGACGTTGTCGGAGCTGCTCGATGTTGGAGGTCATCCAGATCGAGAGTACTGGTCTCCAGGTAGCTATCCATGGGTGACTCCATACTAGAAGTTTCGCAGCTGTTTGGAGGTGACATGAATTCCAAAGGTCTTCTCCAGTCAGGCTGCGACTGGAGATGACTTCATATTTTGGTGTACATGAAGGTGATGGGCGAGAGCCAGCTCCTGCTTATAGAGGAACATCTTGGGTATCTTCCGCCCTGGTACTCGTATCCACGTCCTCTGTCTGGGCTGCGAAAACTTTGCTGATATGTGACTCGGTCGAAGTGTTTTTTATTGCCCTCCCCTGTATATTGTAGGGTAGTTGATGCATTATATTGTTTGCATTAGTGAGCTCCTTTTGCTATCACCCATATATATAATTCGCTTCGTCTGTTTGTTTGTTTGTTTGTGTTTGTAAGTTTGTTTGTCTGTCCGGAAATTCGGTTCGACCTGAAGAACGACTTGGAGAGGTCGGGTCAAGGTGGGGATGGGTAGGCATGGGACAAGAAATAAAAAGCACACTTGACCTATGGGAAGCCCCGCCCACAGTGGGCGGGGCACTCGCCTGAAATTTTGGGGTTCAGAAAAATGTTCATAATTCGCTTCCGGAGCAGCCTAAGATGGGGAAAAAAGGGAATAAGGTTAGTAAGGAGTCGCCAGACTAACTGTGGCAGACACATCCAAAATGGGCGGGGCGTACTCAAGGTGGGCGGTGCTTCGCATAAAACTCAGTAACTCGGTTCGCGAGAGTGTTCAGAAGCCGCAAAAAGCTCAGTGCAGAATGTAAATATCTGGCGAGTATTGGGCATGCTCAAAATGTGTTGAGATCCGCCCACAGTGGGCGGAGCTTGCCCTAAACCGCAGGATACTCATTTTAAAAGTTTGTAGCTCGGTTCCAGAGCACTGCAAAGACCGGAAAAACGTGCGTCAAGGTCGGCAAAGGTTCGCCGGTGAGGACTGTGGGGCACAAACATTGTGGGCGGGGCCTGCTCCGGTTTGGGCGGAGTCAGACGAAAAATCTGTAAAATAGTTTCAGAGCACTCCAGACACGGAAAAAAGTGGATTAAGGTCAGCAGAGGGTTGCCGATTGAGAAATGTGGGGTATACATGTTGTGGGCGGGGCCTGCCCGAGGTGGGCGGAGCCAGACAAAAAGGTCTGTAAAACGGTTCCAGAGCACTCCGAAGACCGGAATAAAGTGAATTCAGGTCAGCAAGGGGTCGCCGATTAAGAAATGTGGGCATACATATTGTGGGCGGGGCCTGCTTCGAAGTGGGCGGAGTCAGACAAAAGATCTGCAGAAACGGTCCCAGAGCACTCCGAAGACCGGAAAAAAGTGGATTAAGGTCAGCAGAGGGTCGCCAGTGAGGATTGTGGGGCACAAAAATTGGGGGCGGAGCCTGTTTCGAGGTGGGCGGAGCCAGAAAATTCTGCAGAACGGTTCCAGAACACTTCAGACACCAAAGTGGATTAAGGTCAGCAGAGGGTCGCCGGTGAAGAGTGTGGGGCACAAAAATTGTGGGCGGGGTCTGCTCTGAGGTGGGCGGAGTCAGACGAAGAATCTGTAAAATAGCTCAAGAGTCAGACACCGGAGAAAAGTGGAGTACAGAACAAAAGGCGGATATCAGTTGAGTCTAGAAATATGTGAAGAGAAGGTACGCGCGGCGAAGCCGCGCCCGCCCGGCGCAGCCGGGCCGTATCAGAAGGAGCCGCGCCGGCGTCAGCCGGCGAGGCGACTGGTATAACATACTGATGACTTGTTATAGGGTGCTGGCCTAGCTCTTTGTTTTTTTTCACCCACCTTAATACTTCTATTTTTCCCAGTTTGACAAACAGCTCATAATTTTTCTTTCTAATGTGAAATCTCTTTTGGATTGCTTAAACACTCCAAACCCATCTTCATTCCATGTCATGGCTAAGTAGTGCATGCCTTGCTTGTGTTACTGTGCTGACCCTGGTGCACACCGGCGCCAAATGCCGTGCAGTGCGCCAATCTCCACTCGAAGGGCACCACCTCACGTAAGAGATTGATGCCTGCTTCTTTTTGGTAATTGAGCATAGTTAACTCAAAACGGTGTAACGTAAGGGGGCATTGTGCAGTATGCTTAGTAGTTTCAGTAATCTGTTTAGTTCAGACGTTTTTTCCAATCATCGAAGTGCTGTTGCTGTATAGTTCTCTTGATGTACCATTTTCCTCCAACTTCCTTTTTTCAACGACTTTCAAGGTTTCAACTCTTTTCAAAAAAATTCGGCATTTTCGAGTCGAATTCAACCCTTTGTACGTCTGTCTATATTGCCCTCTCCGCCACCCTCAATAACAGGACACTTTGCGAGCCGGTACATTTACATTGAAATCTCGTGTGACTGTGCTACGTAAGCATGTCCAGCACGCTGCAGTCGACAATCGTGATCAGCGATCAGGACGTCTCTTATGGTTAGTGATGCATCTACAGTGCAAGGAGA